ATATCGCACATAATAGAAGCTGTGGTAAATATGAATCGATTGAGCAAGAAAACTTTTTTGGATATATATTGGCAGAAGTGCAAATGACGAGGTCGATATTGTTTTTGGTGTACGTGCGGGTTTAAACATTTCTTTGATTTAAATAATGGCCCTCTTTTTGAATAATCACAATTAAGGGGAAAACAACGCGGAAAAACTTATCTGTTGAAACAAAAGGAAAATAGGCTCACATCGGGACAGATTTAAGTTTTTCATCATCGCTCTAAACTGTTTTGTTCCAAGCACAATTCACAAATTTCGGATACAGCTTTTTCGATGTCCAAACGCATTCCTCCTATAAACGTAGCTTGGAGAAATTATAAGCGTGTTTCCGTGGGTAAAAATTGTAATTTCTATTTCCCTGTTATTAGTGAACGCGAGAAAACAAAGACAAGTTTATCATACCACACGCTACGAACAATTTAGCGCTGACAATATTCTAAAAATGTACTATTAATTTTTATTTGACACGTGACACTTGTTCGCAAAACGCAACCAGTTTTAATACCTGTCTTTATTCATACAGAGTGGCTAATTTTCTTCAACGTATATTTAAACAACAATGTACTAAGTCATTCTATATACATCTAGAATCTCTAACTTTAATTTAATTTTTTAAAAGCACTTGGTAAGAGACACTGAACTCGAGAATTTCAAGACAAATTTCAATACAGTGCGCGCAACGATAGCAAATGGATCGCAATTCAAGCCAGGGAAATAAATTTCACCGCGACAGCATTCTGTTTAAAGTAAATGAATCTCTGTTTACAGAAGTTAATACATCGAAAATAAACCATAGTTTGCAGGGAACTGGCTAAAACTATCCTTCTAGTAATACTGGACGAGATAAATTCGTGTGGCGGTCTTTACACCTTTGTTCAAAAGAGGACAAAAGCATTACGTACGTAATGTTAGCGATAAAACAGCTTTATCAATTAAACCGATAACACGAGAAGGTATCGCGTGTATTCGCTTACAGCTTCTAAATGTCGAGCAAGAACTTGCTTAGTAGTACATTCTTTTTTATACGAATATATTTCATAGGAATATCAAGGTTTAACTTTGCGAAATTAACAAACCCGAGGCTAAATTGTAAAGAATAATTTCGTGGGCTGAGAATATGTCAATACAATACGATCATATATTTTTAACTAAACCTTATAAAGTTCTTCCTTTCTCTCAACGGTAAACTAGCCAAAAACGGTAGAAACAGGGGCTAGCTGTACGTTCGATGCCATAGTACAATAAAATTTTTGCAAGAGGTTATTTTCGTCATATCAGGTTTGAATCCAAGAACACTGTACAACAATATTCTCAGCCTAAAATCGGCAGAAAAATAAGAATATTCAGCATGGGACGGAAAAACAATAGTCTTCCAAGAAAAGAAAATGTAGAGTGTAGTACGATGTCTGAAACTGTGAATAATACTTTTTATCATTAAACGACCGGGCCCTAGCGGTTACCTATCATGTTGTTTCATTAAAATACTTTTGTCCATTTAGACGTTTATTATTCTGTGTTTATGTTCCCCATTGAAAGACCATCAAATTCTTATCAAAGAACTGCTGGAAAACATGAGAAAACACGGGAACAATTATTACAAAATTATAGGCGAAGACATGACACTATATAAAACAAAGCTTACAAGGAGAGAAAAATTAGCGCTCTGATTTTTAACATATATAATTCTATTCACCTCTCTGCTGAAACAGGTGTCAGTCGGGTGCGAGCATAAGTTTCTCGTGTTACCTGCCTTTTGCTTTTCAATAATTTTATTGAAACAAGGCCGCTCGTTTTGTTAAAAGGGCTCCGAATGCTTCTCTTCTGTAACCTGTCGCTAAGTAACCAAGATCTACATAGATCATACTTAATGCAGAAAACTAATGGTGGTCTTTTGTTCTTGGTAGCGTTTTCAGAGCTCAGCAAGTGGCTTATTGTGCAAAAGACATGTTTTGGTGAACGTAATTAAATGAAAACAATACCCACAGAGACATGCATAAGTACTATGAAATCACATTAGAACAAAACGAAAAGCCAATAAGTATATTTTTAACATCTTACAGTTAGACAATTAGACAATCACTGTCACTCAAACTTATAAGCCAACTACAAATGCTACCCCCAAATTACATTGTTATGCCGTTAAAGGAGAAAGCCACTCCGAAAAGCTTATCTTTTTTGTCTCCTTCTATATAGCAAGTAAAGATTCAGCTTTTCCACTCACCGAAGTTTCAGTCTCTGAAGTGCTCGCCATCCTGAAGTAATTTGTCTCGAAAGAAGCGACTTCGGAGGCCGACATTTTGAAACTGTCTTGGCAGCCACGCCGTGTTTAGGTGACGTCATTCCGTCCGACTCGAAATTGGCGGGAAAGAGAAAAACCTGCAACTGACTTGGCATCCTTCACAAGCTCAGCAAAATCTTTATTTTTTCCGAGCGATTATCCACGTCACTATCTTCAATCCTATCATTTCGGAGTTTGGAGCATGTTTGGCTCAAAATAATATGGCTCAAGAGCAGCCATAATCCAGAGTGGCACTTAAAAGGCTCTTTGGAAGCAATTGGACGGAACGGACTCACGAAAACGCGGCCTGGCTAACGCTGCTGAGTACTGTTCAAAATAGCGGCGACGATGTTCGAATTTTGGTCTTCTTTAGAGACAAATTTTTATAAGGAAAACCTGTACTTTAGAGGCTGAAACTTCGGTGAGTGGCTAAGCCTTGCACGTTTTTATTAGCGTTAACGAAAAATATACGTTTTTTCTAGTGACCTTCTCCTTGAAAAGGGAAAATCAAGCTTCCAGCATGTGTGAACTCCAGCAAATTCTAAAATTGCTTTTCAAGTCGAATGAACAGTACACTAACAAGGGGAAGATATGGATCCTGCTAAACTGGGAGCCGCATTGATTCTGCGATAGCAACATGTTTTTTACTGCCGAAGAGTTAGCCATTATTAGATAAAGTTTAGAAATGAATAAAATAAAGCCTGTGTTTGAATGTGAAGAGGTAAGTGTATTGCATAGCGTGCCGGTGGTGTAAACACTTTTGTAGGGCTTAGTTCGGGTGTCCGACCGCCATTTCGGGTCGTAAAATATAGAGGACGTTGGACGTACTTTTCTTCTCCTCCCAAGCTTTCCTGGTCAAAATGCGGTCGCTTGTTCACTCGATCGCTAAAATGTGCTTACCCTTCGAGCCATGTGACCAAGCCATGTGCAGTATTCCCCGTGCAGGCTCTATAGGATTCGCCACTTATCTAAAGACGGTTTATTGAACACGCTGAAGCTAAGGTCACTCTTGGGTAGAAAGTGGCGCAGGCATAATATAACTGCAGTCTAGGCAAACATGAGGAATAGCTTAATAAATGATTCAACTCCGTACAAGATCTTTTTTTATAGTGACATTTTATTGTTAATCTACGGAAGTTTTTCGGTAGATGTATTACGAGGACTGGAAGGAAATTTTCCCTTTTCGAAAAACATAATTGGGCGTATATTCGGAAGGGACTCTGTGGAGTCCGAAGAAAAAACGAAACATGATCTTAACAGCGCAAAACTCCAAAACTCTCCTTTAACGACGAGGGAAGTGAAAGAAAAACATAGCCTGAATCATATTTAATTTATATAAAGTATGAGGTCGGAAGTTTATATGGTCAACAGAAATGGTATCGTTATTTCATCATTTAAATGCAAACGCCTCATATGCGCAGAGAGATCTACAGTCGTTGTTTCTATTTTTTTTATTTACAAAGTGAACAAACAGGACATGTATATTTAGCCCAACAAATTGTTTCCATCAATTACAATGACAAATATTTACCTCATACGTTTGCAAGATAGGTTTGTATGAAACGAAACGAAATGCATTAAAACAATTTCCTCTTTTTAAGCGATAACCTCGTTTTGCATCGTAACTGGTAACCTTTATTGATGCGTAACTTAGTTTGATTAACAGTTAGCTAAGGATGAATAGTCAACATAAGACACTTAAACAAATTAGTCTTGTAAAGAACCGTAAGTCAATGGATTTTGCTTAGTGTCTTACGTCTCAAACAGAAAATTTACTCCACTCTGTACTATTCAAAGAGTCCGGCGAAGGCACTTAAAGTATATTCAAGGAACAGTGCTGAATCGTGTTTCCGAACACATCGTCACACTACATGTTCTTGCCGATAGTTGCTAAAACTCGGAACTTTTAACTTATAACAAAACTGAACTTCAAATATTTTTCAGCAAACCGTATCTCAGCGTGAAAATTAATTTTCTGGCCACTAACAAAGAGGCAATTTTGTTTCACTGACAAATGAAAAATGGCTCAAAATTTTCATACTTAATGCCAGTTAACTAACCTGACAACGCACAAATTGGCAACATTAAAACTAAACTCTAACAAAATGCTGCAATAAATTTACAGACGGGAATACTGTGTATAAACTGACCCGCAATCTACTTTAGGAACACCTATTCAACATTAATTATTTTTATTTTACCACAACTTAAAAGCTTTTGTAATCTTTCAAGTCCCAATAGCTTTCGACTTCAATAGCTTCTCACTGCCTCAACGAAGTTCATAACGCACGGGCAAAGAAATTTTTCCTCTAATTTAAAAAAACTGTATAGCGCCAGACGTCCCAGTTTTCGCTGCCGTTGTAGCTTGCTTTTAAGTTAGGATCCTCATTAACTAAGAAGGTTGGATAGGAGTCAAGAATCGAGCACAAGAAAGTATACATTCTAGTAGTAGTAGTAGTATGGTACGTATCTTAGCCGTCTTCTACAAACAGACAACCAAATGAACAATTTGTGCGTTACGTGCATGAGAACAAACCCACAACGACGACTTTTTTGGGGCGAATTCAACGCTATTCTACATATTCAGTTTTGGGATGGCTCTGTCATTGAGCATTGCAAGTAAAATATAGGAAAATTATTTCAGTAAGGTTGTCATCAGCGTTGCCGTCGAGGTTTTTTAAACTCACTAATGGCAATTGAGGGGCAGGTGATATTTCTTTTCAAAGAAATCTTCTTTCTAAAACAACCTAATGATTGTTTGCACTTTGTGCATGAACGCTTGCCAGGCAACCATTTTTTGACATATCAATTTGAGCGCTAAGCCCTCATCTTTCGTTCCATTTTGTTCTTCCTCCATTTTATCCGGCGATTCTGAAACCAGACTCGTACCTGTGTCTCTGTCAAGCCAAGCTGAGCAGAAAGGCGTCTTCTCTGCTGTCCCGAGATGTACTGATCGATGACGAAAACGTTTTCCAGCTCGTTCAGTTGATGAGCGGAAAAAACGGTGCGGCCTCGTTGGGGTCTTATGACTTTATCTTCCATGAGACGAGTAACGCTTTCTTCCAGGCGAGGAGGATCTGTGGAAACGCGTGAATTATTTTTAATAAAAATCGGTTTCATAGTTTTGCTTTCATGTAGACAATGAAAAGACATGACTGCTGTTTTTACTATTGTATGAAGTCTTAGCCCTTCTCAATTTCAGCTGACATTTTGCCCGCTCAGCATAAGACAATTTGCTTGTGGCATTTTATTACACTTGGAAGTTTACTCATTGTCGGAACGAAGTTGTGAAGTTTTAATTTTGTGAATTACAACTTAGGAAATATAAGCATATGAACAAAGGCCAAGTGAATTTTTCTCCATTGCCTATCGTTCACAAATGTAAAAATGAACTAATTTACCGTTGAGGTCTAAAATAGACAGGAAAGTAACAGCAATTCAATGATATTTTGACAGAATTATATAGGTCGATGGAAAAAGCCTTTGAAGTTTAAAGCGACAAAATAGAAAATTCCCTACGCATTGAGATAAGAAACCTTTCAGTTCACGCACGAGCACTTTCCGAATATTTGTAAACTGTCAATCATCGATCAATAAAGTGAAGTTTGTCCAATCAGTGTTAGCTTCTAAACGAATTGACAGTTGGGCGTTGAATTGGTTGTCAATGTAGATGTCATAGAATAAATTTTGTTACACCCAAAATTTAAGCTGGAACGTGTTAAAGTTAGCTGATTAACAAACAAATGGAAATTAATACAAGTAAAAAAAAATCTTTAATAAAAAAGCCTTAGAAAATGTCCCTTTCTGAAAAGGAAGAAGTTAAACTCTAAAAACGGAGCTCATCTGCTTTGGAGCAAATTTCTGTCTCCACAAGTTGGGGCAAGTTTCGCCTCAGAAGGAAAGAAAGGATTAGCTAATAGCTATCATTGATAGCAATTATCTCTCTGCGTTTAAACTGTTTGGGTTTTCAAGATTAAATATCATGATTTGTAACTGACACTAAAACCAACTGACTTGCACGAAAGTAGTTGACTTGGTTAAAACTCTCTAAAAGAAATAATAAAATGACACAAAACGCACCATGGCAGAAGTCGGGTCGTTTTCTTAAATGCAACCAAATTTATTCATCTTTCGGAAAGAAAGTTCGCTTGTTCACGTCTTTGGCGGGGCAAACATTTTCTACTGGTTGAGAAGTTTTAGCCTATAAACTAACTTATGAGCGAGTATTTTACATGAGATCCCGAGAGAAGCTCTCCATAGATACATATCCTTGAATCTTGTTTTTATAACGGCACCGAATACTAAAATTTGTTTTGCCGAATGGCATAGTTACAAAGGGTACCTTGGTCTTTTAGTAGCTAATAATTGGCGACGATTTGATGCCATAACAACCCTATTATCCAAAAGAAAAATGAATGAATTTAAATCATCTTTGTATTGACGAAACGTAAACAATGTGCTTGTTTTGGTTGTATATTTTTCTTTTCAAAATCAATACGAAATGCACTTTTACTCAAGCACGGTTTTCAACAGGCAAACATACTGGCCGTTGTGTATCGTCTTCGTACAATTTGGGTGGGAACCTCGCGACCGACTAAAACACATTTTCTGTAGTGTGTCCTAATAAAAATTACCCCATTTGATCGCCTCGCCTGGTATAATGGGTTTTATGGACAAAATGTTGGGATCATAATAGGTTTATACACAAACTAGTTGAAACCACATGTTACATCAATAACGTTTCTTTCAATGAGACTGAGAAACGAAAAAATGGAAATTTGCACTATACCTTCAATGCTTGAATTGGCATTTCTTTCGAACATCTGGTTGAAGTGTGGACTTATTGCGCCTCGTTCTACCAGTCGATATGGGTCTGTTAGCAAGACATCTTGACGGAGTGGATTCCGTGAATAATAGCTGCTCCCGCGGGCGCCGAGTGCATAGTTTGAGGCCGGATAAGAGGGAGATAAACACGGGTTTAGATGAGGAGATCGAGTCGCAGGCTTGTCTCCCGGGGGATTGTGAAGCATCTGCTCAGAAAATCGACTAGTGTTTTTCATGGAGTCGGGATGTAGACTTGGCGGTATGGCGAAATAGGGGGACGAACTTATTGGAGGGTAAAACCAGTTCTGCGAAAGGCTGGACCAATGACTTGAAGAATTGTAATCCGGTTGCATGTTTGTGTGATGTCCCGCTTCGTATAAAGAAAGCGCAGTTGATTATGCTGCAAGCTGGCACTTTTGAACAACACGATGGAACATAACTATGCTTTTCAAGGTGACTTATATCAGAACTATTGATAGTATCTTAAGACAACTGTCATTAAATCCCACCTGCCTGTCAAGCTGCCAATCAAGCGGATATCATCGATGAAACTGGTTTCGATCGCAATGGTTTTAGCATCGGACAACCCTTGTGCGTAATTCGTGAAAGTAGGCGGAATCAATGTGCCATTGCCCCTGCTGAGTGAAAACCGTTTAAGCTGGAAACTAGACAAAATTAAAAGCTAGGTCAGCGAATCCAAACATAGCGAAAATGTAATTATGTCTAATTATATTGTTTGGACGTCTGAAGTCGTTTTTTTCCTTTTTTTTTCCCTTTCAAATTGGCCATTCGCTTTTCAAACAAAGAACAATCGACACCTTTTATTCGTATGCAAAACAACCCGGCAAAAACAAGCTCTGTAGAGCGAACACAAGTTTGATACAGCCTCGCAACGCTCGCCCATAAACATCGAAACAACGACGGAAAATTTTTCCAAAAAACAATTACTTATATTCCCGTTTTTTCGTACTTTATAACGTGCGTGATGGGCAGGATAAATTTTCAGTTAAAGGCTAATATTGATTTTTGGTGAGAAGGAATACAAATTGTTAAGCAGTTCTCATTTCTTTGTTTAAGTGGGCGCGCCATTCTTGAGGTTAGGTTGCTGTAACAACGTTAATCCCATCGAGGAAACTTCGCAACCATTTCTTAAAATTCGGTCTTAAAATCAAATAATTGTATTTTTTGAGAACTTTGATAACAATTTAATTTACAGGTAAACGGTTAAGCCAAATTTACGTTATAACAAAACGTATTTTGACTGAATTATCGACTAATTAACATAATTATTTTCGCACAAGTCTGTTTGTCTGTTCACAGTGCAGTAGGGACATGGCTAGAATAAATGTTAAATTCCTTGATTCATAATAAAACCGTACTGTGTTGTTCTTCTCATGAATTCAACATCAGCATAAATTTTACCAAATGTGTCTTTTATTTGATGAAATACCTTAAGAATTAGCCCTTTCAAAGCACGACTATTTCGGCAAAGATATTCCTCTTATTGATCTCTCTCATGAAAAGGTGATTCGACCAAAGTTGAAAATGTCTCACTATACATTGTTTCAATCAATTCTATCCAATCGCCAATAAAATCGACTTCAAAGCTGATCAGTTAAAAATAGCATCAATATGTAAAATGTAACATGTAACAGGCAGTTACTTTTGGTGAGTTATCCCAAAAAGGCCAAGACGAGCTTTTATTTTGTGGTAAGTGGATCTGAATGCCGGATTCCCTGTAACATCTTTGGTAATGTTTCCTCGCTAATTTCCTGATATGCTACCATTTCACAGATCCCTCCTTGTGTTAAAATTAAGCTTACAACACGCATCTCATAGAAGTTTTTAATACCGGATCACTAAGGAAACACTATAGTTGATTTTCTTTTGAAATGGCACAAAAGTAATAAAGGAATAAAATGATAGAAATAGTACACGGACCTCCGAACAGACAGAGTTGCTTCGGCACGGTTTTCGTGTTCTGACTCTAGTTTTGGTGTTTGCCTTTAATAATGACAATAGATAATGGTAATAGGACGGAATGCTGTCCTCATCCCTCGTGGCCTAGTAGTCCCATTTGAATTTAAGTGTGAATTAAAAACATAGTTGGACAACACGAAGCTTTTACCTATCATATCAGTATATCATAGCTTATCGTATCATATCGCGTCATGTATCGTGTCAATAGGAAAAAAGTGCGGAAAAAAATAGACTTACCGAAGCCTGTTACTAACAGTAAATTGGACAAAATTCAGTGACAAATAGAAGTTCTAAACGTTTTTGTGAATATAAGGAGGGACTTTATTTTAGTCAAAGGAAGAAATCTAATAGTGATCAAGTACACGAACACGAATTTTGTAATCGGACCTGTTAATGGCTTCCTGTGCTTAAAACTTGATATCGATAACATAATTGAACTTTTTGTAACGTTATTAAAAGAATAATCAATTGCACGCTTTACATGAATAAAACTTACAGATACGAAGTAAAAATGATTTAATTTACAAACACTTTGATCATGATCAAAAAAGAGGAAGGCTTCCTTTCCCACCTCCAAAAACTCAGGTTTTTGAACGAGTGAAAAAAATTGTCCTTGATCCCTTGCTTACTCCCATTTTCAGGTGTTTCCAAACTTAATACGTTTTGAGCACATCTTAAAGGGACTGATCAGCCCATATGAAGACGTTAATGTTCTCGAACACCTCTTAAGAGATATCGGCTCCGTTGAAACTTGGAATCATTTATTTGTCACTGGTCACCATTTTTCTTTTTTCGCTTTTATTTTATCTTTTTATTTCTTTAACCGACCGACGGACTCATAGTTACGAGAGAGAGAGAGGGCTAGATGGGAAACGAAACATTTTATGGGGGCCCTGAGAAATAAAATCTAAGGTATACAAGTTGCAAATCTTCACGTGTGAGAAGATAGGTGAAATGTCGTGGTTTAATTAATTTCACCTCTGTTAAAGTTTACCCTTGCTCTGATGTATGATAATACCTTACAATGTATATGAAACAAATTTTTCCAAAGGCAGTAGTGAACCAGAACATTAACATTACGTTTGAAAATTCGTAATGTGAGGAAATGACTTATTTGTCTTCCACGGTTTAGCTGCAGCTGACATGACCGCTCCAAAGGGGGCCGGGAGGTAACAACCAATCAACAGACACAAACTTTGGTCAACAGAAAACAGACGGCCTTTTTAGCTTGAGCGGTTTGTTGCCCAATTCTTGCTTCCAAATTTGCAAATTTTCGCCTGTATATGGCTGATGTTTACACGGAGAAAAGAGCAATTTTCTAGAGAATATCACGTGTTTTGTAATGGGACAACAAGAAGCCTAAGCTAAAAAGGTCCATTAGCAACAATGAAAACGTGTCTGTGATTAGGCAATGAGTTAGAAAGTGCTTGTCATGCAGTGACACCAGTACGACAATGTGTATAGGACATCAACTGGATGGGAAATTTCAGTAGTTACAGTTGTTTACAGTACATTATTGCACTGTAATAAACAGTATTTCAAAGCAAAATTGTAGCATTGTTCTGACGATATTCTCTCAGGCCAAAGACATTGGTTAGGTGTTGCTGATTTATTTCACACTCTTATTTACATCCTTCGTTAAACATCATTAGACTAAAAGATTAAAAGTATGAGGCCGTCCTTAAAGGAGCTACGTCACAGTTTGCTCATCTTGAAAAGTTCAGCCTAAATTTTTCGAGTTCGTCGTTTGTAATCCGTGTCAATCTTTTCCATCTGACCATCCCAGTTCCTTTATGGTTTATTATTATCTCTTTGGTGTTTTTCTTTCTTCGTAAACGATTATTTTCAGGTTTTCTTTAATCTATAGGTAAGTTATATTTGGCCAAAACTTTTCATGACTAAACTCCTTTACATTCCCATGGCGGCCATTTAAGATCGCATGAAACTCAAAGAGATGACAAAAAATAGAATTGACAAGAATGAAAACAGGTGCAGGCGCAAACACACAAAGCGCGTCAGTACTGCTCAAAATGTCCAGGGCAATAAACATTAATTAGTTGTGAGCAATGACATCTTGCACGTGATCAGCTCGGCAACTCATGACAGGCAAGCCGACAACAACGTCCATATAAAACCATGAACTGTCTTTTTACTTGAAAAATTTCGCAATTAATTTGTGAGTGTCATAACACCTCTCTATTTTAACACGCAACGTCAGCATCCAATTGGCCATTGGCCCTGAAAGGCCCCATTGTGGGAGTGGTCAGTTAAGATATTTATCATTTTATTTATCCGATTCCAAACAGAGAAATCAATAATTCAGTTATTTGTCGAGGATGCCTAAGGAGTGTACGAAGAGTTTAAGGTTACATGATTTGTTATACAGACGTTTTCATCCGACTGAAAACTGCGTTTCAGTTGGATGAGAAAGAATCACGTGATCCACCTCACAACTGTAAAACTACGAATGGTGACAACAGCTTGGACCTTGAACCCTGGACTTGCACGTGATCATTGCGTGCGTCTCGAAACCATGGTAGTACTAAGACAGCAAATGAATGCGAAGCATATTGGAAATTGTAGACAGAAACGAAAATTCTTTATTCCGTACGAGTGAAAAAAACGATAAAATACAAAAATAATTTGTTCAAGCAAAAAAGAATTTGACCATCAGTCGATATCTCAATGCAAATTGGAAAGCTCTTAGGCATCCTATACAAATAACTAGTATCTGCTTGGAAATCAATGCTTACATTGTAACAGCAACAACTTTATTCACCCCAGAGTTAGAAATTACAATGTTATAGAGTAAAAAACCAAAATGATAGGGGTGCTGGATACCGAAAATAGCCTAAGAGTTAAAAATTCTTGACAGCTCGTTAACAGGAAAGATATTTTACATCTTTAGGCCAGGGACACAAAACAAACAGACATAGACACACGCACACACAAAAAGAAATAATTGTACATTCAAATGGAGAAGTGTTATGACACTGACACATAATTGCGCAATTCTTAAATGAAACGTCAATTTACGGTCTTCTGGGCATTACTGTTGTTGGATGTCATGGCTGCTGCCATGTTAGTGTTGACCAATCCACAAAACAGGGGTTAATTTTAAGCTGGGGTCAACAAAACACCTGTCATGACTGTCCCCATGTGGAATTCGAACAGTGAGTTTTGTTTCCCTAGTGTGTCGACGAAGGCCCCCGATGTTTCCTCGATGTTAGCCGAGGCGAAACCGACAGGAACATGGAGGGCCTCGGAGAAAGAAAACCTTAATTAATTTATCTTTCTAGGCCGGTCACACGCATAATTTTACTTAATTAAAGAAAGGTATCTCAATGCAAAATTCTAAGCATGGTGCTGGCCATGCGGTTAAATGTTTATGCTGGCCTTGTCCAGCCACATTTATGTTTTGCTTTTCGAGACACCAATCGTGACACTTTGTCTCCTTGCGCCCCGAAACACGTGATGTGGCAACACGTGTTTCGGAACGCAATTGAGTTCAAACTATGGAACTTGTTATATTGAAGGGGTCATTTTGCAATTTATGTGCGTTGGCTATTGGGCTGGCGTTACATATCCTCGCTACCCAGTGCTGACAAGTCCCAAGAAGGACCAAACAGCTGTCCACTGTTGCAATCCTGCTTTATCGGTTTTTGTCATGTTGGTGTCTCGAAACGTCTTTCACGAAGTATCAGCCTTGCAGTCTATTGTTTGTCTTTATACATTTTTTTTGG